TCTGCCAGTTCTTTTAATACTCTTGGATGCAGTTCATCTGGCCCTGGAGACTTGAATACATCTAAACTAGCCAAGTATTCTTGTACTATCTCCTTAGTTATTCTGGGCTGTGTTTCCTTTGCTGAATCATTTGCTTCAAATTCTTCAGGTCGGGCATTGTTTTCTTTATCGGAGAAGACTGAGGCAAAGAAGGCATTGAGGAGTTCAGCCCTTTCTGTGTCCCCTGTTTGCATTTCACCATCTTCTCCTCTGAGTGACCCCACTGTTTCTTTGTTCTTCCTTTTGCTACGAACATACCCATAAAAGCCCTTTTTGTTGCTTTTAACCTCTCTAGCAAGCCCGAGTTCATTCTGTGCTTTAGCTTTTCTGACTTTGTGTCTACACGTGCTGGCTATTTGTTTGAATTCCTCTTTGGTGGTTTCCCCCCTTTTCCATTTTTTGTACATATCCTTTTTTAATCTTAACTCAGTTAAAAGTTCTTTAGATAGCCACCCTGGCTTCTTTAGGCAGACTTTAAGAAAGGCGACTTCATAAAACTTAGGGAAGTGCTGGGTGAGATCCCATGGACAGTAATACTAAAAGGAAAGGGAGTTCATGATGGCTGGGAGTTTGTTAAGAGGGAGATACTAAAAGCACAACGTCAGGCAATACCAATGAGATGGAAACATGGAAGGTGCCTAATAACTAAGGAGATAGTACAAGAATACTTGGCTAGTTTAGATGTATTCAAGTCTCCAGGGCCAGATGAACTGCATCCAAGAGTATTAAAAGAACTGGCAGATGTGATCTCAGAACCACTGGCAGTCATCTTTGAGAATTCCTGGAGAACAGGCGAAGTCCCGGCAGACTGGAGGAGGGCAAATGTTGTCCCTATTTTCAAAAAGGGGAAAAGAGAGGACCCAAATAATTACCGCCCAGTCAGTCTGACATCAATACCAGGGAAGATTCTGGAGCAGATCATTACAAACAGTCTGTGAGCACCTAGAAAGGAATGCTGTGATCACCAATAGTCAGCATGGATTTCTGAAAAATAAGTCATGTCAGACTAACCTGATCTTGTTTTTGACAGAATTACAAGCCTGGTAGATGAAGGGAACGCAGTGGATGTAGCCTACCTTGATTTCAGCAAGGCATTTGACAAGGTGCCCCATGATATTCTTGTAAAGAAGCTGGTAAAATGCGGTCTTGACTATGCTACCACTCAGTGGATTTGTAACTGGCTGACTGACCGAACCCAAAGGGTGCTCATCAATGGTTCCTCTTCATCCTGGAGAAGAGTGACTAGTGGGGTGCCACAGGGTTCTGTCTTGGGCCCGGTCTTATTCAACATCTTTATCAACGACTTGGATGATGGACTCAAGGGCATCCTGATCAAATTTGCAGATGACACCAAACTGGGAGGGGTGGCTAACACCCCAGAGGACAGGATCACACTTCAAAACGACCTTGACAGATTAGAGAACTGGGCCAAAACAAACAAGATGAATTTTAACAGGGAGAAATGTAAAGTATTGCATTTGGGCAAAAAAATGAGAGGCACAAATACAAGATGGTGGACACCTGGCTTGAGAGCAGTACATGTGAAAAGGATCTAGGAGTCTTGGTTGACCACAAACTTGACATGAGCCAACAGGGTGACGCGGCAGCTAAAAAAGCCAATGCAATTCTGGGCTGCATCAATAGGAGTATAGCATCTAGATCAAGGGAAGTAATAGTGCCACTGTATTCTGCCCTGGTCAGACCTCACCTGGAGTACTGTGTCCAGTTCTGGGCACCACAGTTCAAGAAGGACACTGACAAACTGGAACGTGTCCAGAGGAGGGCAACCAAAATGGTCAAAGGCCTGGAAACGATGCCTTATGAGGAACGGCTAAGGGAGCTGGGCATGTTTAGCCTGGAGAAGAGGAGGTTAAGGGGTGATATGATAGCCATGTTCAAATATATAAAAGGATGTCACATAGAGGAGGGAGAAAGGTTGTTTTCTGCTGCTCCAGAGAAGCGGACACGGAGCAATGGATCCAAACTACAAGAAAGAAGATTCCACCTAAACCTTAGGAAGAACTTCCTGACAGTAAGAGCTGTTCGACAGTGGAATTTGCTGCCAAGGAGTGTGGTGGAGTCTCCTTCTTTGGAGGTCTTTAAGCAGAGGCTTGACAACCATATGTCAGGAGTGCTCTGATGGTGTTTCCTGCTTGGCAGGGGGTTGGACTCGATGGCCCTTGTGGTCTCTTCCAGCTCTATGATTCTATGATTCTATGATTCTATGATTCTATGGTCCAGGGGGGGAGGTTACTGTGGGGCGAGGTCCAGGACCTGAGTCGAGGGTCGGCAGACAGTCCTCCACGGGCGAAGCGGGGTCCACAGCGAGGAGCCGGGCAAGGACAGGAACTCTGGGGGAACAGGACTGGATGCTGGCCGAAACAGCTCTTCAACAACGTTGCGCCCGCAACCTTGGACCGGGCTGACTGGCCTTTATCTTCTCTGAGGCCAGGGGCGGTCCCGGCCCCCAGGTGACCCGCCTCTCCTGGCCTTAAGGCAAGCACTCCTCCTGCGAGAAACCAGTTCCCTCCGCCTCTCTGCCCTTAGCCTCTGCAGCTCAGGAGAGGCCAGTGGGTTACTGGACCCAGGGGGAGACTCACTTTCCCCTGACAGGGCTGGGAGAGGCGCACCTGTAGGCAATGCGTCTTCAATCGCCTCCGGAGCCAGAGTGGATTCACCTGGTGCCTGCTCCTGAGGATCCGGCACAGGTGCAGGCGCTTCAGAATCAAGGCCCTGCCCCAGCTCAGCCGGCCCTGGAGGCGGGGACTCCTGTGCAGGCTGGGATTCCTCCGGTTCAGCCTCTGAATCAGATTCCCAGGCCATCACACACATCAACAGCGCAGAAGTAGCAGTCGGTGACATGGTTTGTCGGCTCCCTCCAAACCATGGGAATTCCAAAGTTCAGACTCCTCTTGCCATTGGTCCACCCACGTAGAGTCTCGGTGCATGCCTTGCACACCATGTGTGGCACCCAAGCTTTATCCTGGTCACCAAGTTTAATACCAAAATAACTTTATGCTTTGCCGCACCAATTTATGGAAGATTTCGAGGTTTTATGACTTCAAACTGATCCCTTTTCGACATAACCACCCAGAACTATCGGACCTGAATACTTCTTGTCATTAAAATAATCATTTCCAATCAAAACAATTATTCGACATGGCATTTTACCCCCACCAACTTCTCCTAAAATGCTCCACACAAGTGTACATGTGAACAAAAACGTAACAAAGTGACATGTGGCCATAGCTCAAAAACTTGACCTGATTGAGCAAAACCAATGTGACTTTTGGATTCAGCGCATCAGCTTCGTCCTAAATCAACTGAAAAAATGCAGACAACAAATTTGTTGTTGACCAGTGATCAGATACTAAACAGAGAGGAGGTTTCATCCTGCCGGATTTGAGATTATATTATGAGGCATCTTGCATCTGCTGGATTCAGGAATGGATAATATTGAAAAATGGAGATGTGTTAGACTTAGAAGGACATGATAATAGATTTGGATGACATGCATATTTATGGTATGATAAGGTGAAAGTTAGGGATGCAGGTGGCGCTGTGGGTTAAATCACAGAGCCTAGGGCTTGCCAATCAGAAGGTCGGCAGTTCGAACCCCCGCAACGGGGTGAATCCCTGCTCCTGCCAATCTAGCCATTGAAAAGCACGTCAAAGTGCAAGTAGATAAATAGGTACCGCTCCGGCGGGAAGGTAAACGGCGTTTCTGTCCACTGCTCTGGTTCAGAAGCAGCTTAGTCATGCTGGCCACATGACCCAGAAGCTGTACACCGGCTCCCTCAGTCAATAAAGCGAGATGAGCACCGCAACCCCAGAGTCGGCCACGACTGGACCCCTTTACATTTACCTTTAAGGTGAAAGTACACAAAGGCTTAGGGACGCGGGTGGCGCTGTGGGTAAAACCTCAGCGCCTACGACTTGCCGATCATATAGTCGGCGGTTCGAATCCCCGCGGCGGGGTGAGCTCCCGTCGTTCGATCCCAGCTCCTGCCCACCTAGCAGTTCGAAAGCACCCTTAAGTGCAAGTAGATAAATAGGTACCGCTTTATAGCGGGAAGGTAAACGGCGTTTCCGTGTGCTGCGCTGGTGCTGGCTCACCAGAGCAGCTTCGTCACGCTGGCCACGTGACCCGGAAGTGTCTCCGGACAGCGCTGGCCCCTGGCCACTTAAGTGAGATGGGCGAGCAACCCTAGAGTCGGACACGACTGGCCCGTATGGGCAGGGGTACCTTTACCTTTACCTTTTTACACAAAGGCTTTCAGAATAATATAATAAGAAAATCAATTTTTAAAGTATGGGAGAAGTATAAAGACTTTTTAGAACAAAAAACACCATGATGGCTTTCCCTGTTAGAAACAATATCTTTCAAGGAAGTGAATATGAGGACCAATTGGCCAACATATTGAGAGTTGTTAACTGAGGTAGAAAACCAGGTAAAATTAAAAGATTTTGAAGGGGTGGTAACAGTTTGGCTACAATACCATCAATTAAACGATTTTTTTAAAAAATTGATAAAAAGAAAGGTTTTAGTTATGAGTTATCAAGATTTCAAAGAGAAATTTTAGGAGATAATATTAAATTGTCAAAAATGTATAATTTGCTCCTGGAATGGGAAACAAAAGATGAACAGGTCAAATCTGTGATGATACAATGAGCGAAAGATGTGGGACATAATATACAAATGACAGACTGGGAGAGGCTATGGAAAATAGATCTGAAATTTACGGCATGTTCTTTAATGAAAGGAAATTATATGAAAATGATGTACCAGTGGTATTTGACCCCAGTAAAACTAGCAAAAATGTACAGAACAAGTACCCAATATATGCTGGAAATGTAAAGAAAAAGAAGGTACCCTTTATCGTATGTGGTGGACCTGTAATATAACTAAAAAAATATGGAAAATGATATATAATGAAATGAAAAAAAATATTCAAAATAACTCTTGTTAAAAAACCAGAAGCCTTTTTATTAGGAATTATAGGTACCAAATCCCAAAGGACCAGAGGAAATTGTTCATGTATGCTACAACAGCCACCTGGATGTTACTAGCCCAGAGATGGAAGGAAGAGACAGTCCCGTCCAGAGAAGAATGGCAGATCAAGTTGATGGACTATGCCAAAATGGCAAAATTATCTGGGAATCAAGAAGACAAGAAATTTTAAAAAGAATGAGAATTGTTTATAATGTATATACAAAATCACTGTAAACAGGTCAAAACATTAGCAGGATTTTAAATACACTTGTAACAGAAAATATAGATAATGTTGTTGTTGTTTAGTCGTTTAGTCGTGTCCGACTCTGTGACCCCCTGGACCAGAGCACACCATAGATAACTTAGGAAGATGAAAAATTGGAGAAGTACTGATATGCAGTTGAAAATAGAACCAAAAGGGCCCATGGAAGGAGGGAAGTCAGGAGATTCAGAGTAATCTTGATATCTGGATTTTGTACTGTTTTATGCTTTTGCTTATATTTTTGAAAATCAAATAGATTAAATATGTGTGTGTATACACACACACACACACACACACACACACACACATATATACTCTCACAGTCCCAACAACATCTGGAGACCCAAGTTAGAGAACGGCTGGGCTACATGACAGGCAGCCATTCTGCAGGGTTTCAGGAAGGAGTGGGAATTGAACTCAGGACCTTCTGCATTCAAGGCAGGTGATGCAGGGGGTGGGCGTGGTTTCTAGAACCATAAGGTCAGCTGCAAATAATATCTCCCGCTTTAGAAAAACATTTGTAGTTATTAAAACACACAGGCACAAGCACACGTGGAGCAGGCCAGCCCCATCTCTGAAGAGGTGCTGCTTCCACCTGGCTGCCAGGAAGTCCAGTCTGCTGGAGAAAGTTCTTCAAACGCAGCTAGAAGCCAAGCCGGCCTCTGGGCTCACGGAGACGCTTCTTTGCTTGGCCCGTGCTTTCCAGGATTTGCTTTTCCCTGGGAAAACCTGCCTCTGAATGGGAACAAGCTGGGTACTGACCCCCACAATCCTACTCTTTACTAATCCCCAAAGGTGGGACAATATTTTAAAAACCAAACATCATGTCCTTGGAAGAGTTGCAAGGACATTGTTGAACAATTCTGCCCTGAGGACTAAGGACTCAGATGTGCAGCTGCAAATAAAACGTTTTAAGTGCAATATACAATGTGACACTAGATGACGATGGTGAGCCTTATGGAAAATTAAATGTTTTTTAAAACACAAAAAATGCATTTTCAGAACGGTTTTTATACATGTGTAGGTTCCACGTAAGATAAAACTGTGGGAAACGGGCGAAATGGCAGGAGCAAGCTGAGCTGGGTGCTAGGAAGGCGGCTGGAGTTTGGAGGAACATAGGAAGCAGTCCTATATCAACTCCGACGGCTGCTCTGTCAACGTCTGCACCCTTTGGTCTTTGCTGGCCCCGTCTGGCTGTGCCAAGAATTGCACCCAGGAACTTCTGCATGCAATAAAGCTTTGCAGCAGAGCTGCGCCTTGTGTTGTCCCAGAGAACTCTCATCCTCCTTCAGGGGTCTCCATGTTGCTCTGGGTTCTGCTAGGAGTATCTAACAGGGTATGTATAAAAGGATAGGTAACAATGCACTGCATGGCCACACACACTAGTGAAAAGGCCTCAAACATGCACATGAAAGAAGATAGAATTAAAAACTCTGAAAAAGAAGTAGCCATGGAATTAACCAACAAGGTTCTCTGTCTCCATTTCTTCTCCACAGTGGCTAGGAAAGCAGTTTATGGAAAGACGGTTTCCTCTTTGCTTAGCAAATAGCCAGAATTCTGTCTGTTGAATGGAAGGAATGACTTCCATTCCTGTCAGAGATCTAGAAAGTTCCAACCTGTGCACACTGCTGTTCTTAACACCCTGCAGTTCTGCCCAGGATTGGCTGGCTTAAAGGCCAGGACCCCATCCTCAGGAGGCAGCTGAGGGATGATGGAGCAGCAATATTGGTTCTGTGGTAATTGGTGTAAATAGTTGCAAAGCAACGTAATGCCAACCCGTCAAGAAGGGTCCATAGCTGTGTGGTACCCAAGCAGAAGGCTCCAGGTGCCTTGGAGAGTTGTTGGCCACCAACAATATCAGGCTAGATGGACCAAAGATGTGGATTTGTGTTGGGCATCTTCATACATTCCTGAATTCATCACCTACCCACACAACAAGGACCATGAAAAATACTTAGTTCTTCCTAGAAGTCTTCCTAAGATCAGTAAGAAATAACGAAGGTATAAAAGGTGTGACAGTTGGATGTAATGAATATAAAGTAAAAGCATTTGCCGATGACTTGGTTATAACGAAAGAAGATCCCATAAAAAGTGTTAAAGAGGTGCTGGATGAGATAGAACAATTTGGACAGGTGGCTGGTTTTAAGTTAAATAAGAAAAAAACTAAGATAATTGTAAAGAATATGGATTATGACACAACTGAAAAAATACAACAACAGACAGAGATCGAGGTGGTTAAGAAAGTGAAATATTTAGGAATTATATTAACCCCCAGGAGTATTGATCTATTTCAGAATAATTATGTACCAATATGGAATAAGATTAAGAGAGATCTGGAGGTGTGGGGGAGAATGAAATTATCATTTTGGGGAAGAATTGCAACGATGAAGATGAGCGTGTTACCGAAAATGTTGTTTCTATTCCAAACAATTCCAATAATTAAGGGAGTGGCAATATTTAAAGAATGGCAAAGAATAATATCAAGATACATTTGGCAGGGGAAGAAGCCGAGAATTAAATTTAAGATATTAATAGATGCAAGAGATAGAGGAGGCTTCGCTCTGCCAGATTTAAGATTATACTATGAGGCATCATGTATTTGTTGGTTGAAAGAATGGAAGAAGTTAGAACATACAGAGCCAGACTTCTGGGTTAGCGCCTCTGGCAATGGCGGATTTCCTCTGATCGGGAGGAATCCGCTTCGTGAGAATTAGGGTCTCGACCGCCACGGCGAGGCGGAGACCCATTAAAAACCACAGGCGGGAGAAGCCTGTGGACGTGGGATTCGGCTGGCACCTTTCGCGCCTCCCCTACTCGTGGGGAAACCCAGTTTCGGGGATCCGGAGCAACGTGGGGTGAATGGCGTGGTGCCCCAGGGCCCGATCTGATCCCGGCGGAAGCTATTAAACAACATCCAATATGGTGGGCTAAAATTCTAGCAAAAATCTTTGATGCAATCAATGCCACGGGCCAGATACCTACATCATGGAAGGAGTCCATCATAATTCCTATATATAAAAAAGGACCACCAGAGGACCCAGGAAACTATCGTAATATCAGTTTATTATCAATCATCGGAAAAATCTACACTCGCTTCTTGCTAACCAGACTAACCTAATGGGCCGAAGATTCCAATCTGATAGGCCATGAACAGGTCGGGTTTAGACCAAATCGCGCTTCTATTGACCATGCTATAATTCTATATCATTTGGCGCGGAAAAATTCTTCCCCTACTCATGGTCTTCTATGTGCCGCTTTATAGACCTGAAGGCGGCTTTTGACAGTATCTCTAGAGAGCTGTTATGGGAAAAACTGGCAAAGTGGGGCATAGAAAAAAGGCTGTTGTGGCTATTGATTAAATTACATGAAGGGACGGCTGCTAGGGTGAGGTTAACACCTGAGGGCGATCTAACAAACTCAGTTCCAATAAACAAGGGGTACGACAAGGGTGTATCCTTGCCCCTATCTTTTTAACCTCTATATTAGTGACATGAGGACGCCCCTAGCTGAGGCCCAAACCTCCATTCATGCACCCAGGCTTGCAGACTATCGCTGCCCCTTATTATTGTACGCTGACGATGCGGTGATCCTCTCTTATTCTCGAATCGGTTTGAGGAGGGCCCTTAAGATTTTTGCATCATATTGCCAAACAAATTTACTCACTATTAACCATTCCAAATCTAAAGTCCTAATTTTTTCCAGGAGTCGTAAACTGTATAGATGGGAACTTGAGGGGAAGCCAATTGAACAAGTTTACAAATTTCAATATCTAGGAATTTACTTCCAGTATAATATGGGATGGAAAGCGCATATCACATATTTACAAAACAAGGTGAAAGCCCTTATCTACGCTATACTACGCTTCTTCTTTACTGAGGGGCTATGCATGTTCCATCCGCCTTAAAAGTTTATAGTGCAAAAGTGGTTGCAACTATGGCCTATGTGGTCCCTTTATGGGGCGTCTTTTGAAACTACCCTCCTGTGTAAGCAACTCTGCCATTCGCTTAGAACTTAAGACCCCCTCCCTTGAGATTCTGATGTGGAGACATGCCTTTAATTATTGGCTGTCCCTTTGGCATAAATTGCCAAACTACCATCTTATTCAGTGCCTTTGGAGAGATGAATTCACCAGCCCATGGGCAACAAAAATCCATTCCAAACTGTTGTCTTATGGAATCTCTCCCTCCGATATACTTAATTTAGATCTAATTACAGCTAAAAAGGTCATCAAACAAAGATTGGAGGATGTAGATTTACAACAAAATCTTACCACAGGTGGAGGTACATGTTCCCCGATATATCAGGGCATTACATCTATGTCCCAGATACCTCGATATCTGTCTACTTTATCGGCTGCGTCGCATAGATTCGCATTTGTTAGAGCCAGATTTAATGTGTTCCCCTCAAATGTGCTGAGCAATAGATTTTCTAACGGTAAAATCTCTGTTTTGTGCGCATGTGACAACAAATCGATAGAATCCCTTTATCATATCTTGTTTAATTGCCCCTTATACAATGTTCCCCGATCAAGGATCCTGAGTTCAATCATCCTGGAAATTGCTGCTAAACCACCTGAATTACATCTAGCTTATCTACTCCAGGACATTGACTCTTATAGAACTTTACAGGTTGCTAGATTCCTGATCTCAGTTCTGTCTTATAAAAGACTTCAGGGAATGCTGCATGACTATTAAAAATTCAGTAAACTCTATGCACCATCTTTATCTTCAAGGCCATAACACGGTACAGTTAGAGATTATGCGTTGAAATATTTTAGTTGATATTTTAGATTGTAAAATGCTATTGATTTTATCTATTGATTTTTATCTATTGATTTGTTTTACCTTGTGGGCTTATAGCCGAATAAAGTATTATCTATCTATCTATCTGGCGTGGTGCTTCGCCGTGGTGCTTTTTTCATGGAGTGAAGCCGCATTGCTGTTGCCGGAGAGCGCTGACTTTTTCCTGTGGACAACTGGATCTTAAACAACTGCTTGTGAGTAGAACGGAAAATTGGACTATGAAATTTCTTAATTTGGCACCGAAGCGGGAAGGTCTAAACAGGAAGTCCGCCTTCCGCTTTTGTAAATAGATTGAAGCAAAGACATTGCAAGCTAGAGTCTGGAAAGTCATCTGGAAAGGATTAAATTTCCATCATTTAAAATTACTAAACCCCCTTGGAAGCAGGAGAAGAGGGGGGGGATCTTTTTAGACTGTTTAAACCTGCAGAAGAGAGAGTAAAGAAAGATAAATTTCCACCGTCTTGAACCTGGGAGCGGGGTGTCAGAACGGACGCTTTGAGGAAGTTCATATTGATTCCAATGTTCCCTCTTGCATTTAAAAGAAACAAAATATCTGAAAAAGGAAAGGAACTTTGTTGCTAGATCTGCTTTTAAAAAGACGGATACAAATAGAAATTGTTTCCCCTAGAGGAGCTTGTGAAACTGTTATTAGAGTCGATCTGGGGAGCTTTGCAGCTGTAGAGATTAAAGATCGTGGGACCAGACTTTGACCTTGAACAAGAATGTGCGTAGAACAAGCGTTAGTGCTTGCTCTTTGCAAGACAAGTGCTTTACTGGAACAGCTACATGAGAAGATGGATTTGATGACTGTTGCAGTCGGAAATTTTGGACAAACAGTGAATACCTATATAGAACCCACTCAGGAATTAATCCAGGAATGTGCTTTGACAGATCAAGTGGTGAAGAAGATAAAGGAGGAGGTTGTTCCTGAACCTCAAGTAGCAGAAATGGAGAGAGCTGCGGCTCTGCAGGAACATAAGTTGTTGGATCTGACGAATGAATCTGGAGAAAGCCAGATTTGGAGAGATGGAGTTCTGTTTGGCTTAGAGATGGGAAGCTGGATAGATCCCCCTATGCAGGGATGTTTTGACCTTTCGAATTTGGCTTTGGGCCAGGGGGAGTTGTGAGTTGTGGGGGCCCTTAACTTTGGAGGGACTTTGAAACATGCCTCTAAATATCATATGGATTTCAGTGTCGACCATGGAGAATGGGCTGACTTGTCGAGAAGGGACAAAGATATTGTCAAGTTGGAGTCTCCCCGAGAGAAAGGAAGGAAATTAAGAATAAGATCAGCAGAAGACAAAGTAAAGTACAGGTACAAACATGAAGAAGACCTGCGGAAGGGACATGGAAAAGACTTAAGAGCCTCGGATAGAAGGTCACCAGGTTGATGGACTAGATGGATGGGATAGAAAGGACTGACAAAACCCGAGACCAGGAAGAAGAGACGATGGATGAAGATTGGAAGAAAGTTTTAAAAATTTATTTAGAAAATTATCGTAAAATTAATGAGTACTAGAAAAATGTTGGAATGAAATTATTTGGCTTTAGTAGAAATGTTAAAAAGAATTATGTAAGAATATGTTATGCTTAAAAGAATTAGGTATAAATAAGACTTAAGTTTTAAGCTTTAGGGTTTTTATGGTAAGATAAGGTTAAAATAGATTAAGGTAATTTAATGACAGAATATTGTGAAAGATGGAAAGGATTTGCTGAGATAATTAATAACTAGAATACAAAAAAGGGAGGTGTGAGGAGGTTGATGAAATAAGTTAATGGAAAATAAGGATTTGGGAATATTGGATTTGTTTTTAAATTTTTTGTTTATTTTTGTTTTTTTGATTTTGATGTATTGTGTGTGTTTTTTTCTTTGACTTTGGTTTTTATTGACTTGTATTGTTCAATTGTTATTTTTGTCTACCTTTTTCTTTCTTTTTCTTTTTCTCTTGTTTTTTTCTTTCTTTCTCTGTAATTTTAAATTCTCAATAAATATCATTTAAAAAAAAAGAAGTTAGAACATACAGAATTGTTGGATTTAGAACTTTATGATAATAGATTCGGGTGGCACGCATATTTATGGCATGATAAAAAAAGAGTACATAAAGGTTTTGAAAACCACATCATCAGGGGATCTCTAATTGAGGTATGGAGTAGGTACAAAAACCTACTGGAGCCCAAAACTCCATATTGGGTATCGCCACTGGAAGTAATGAGTGTTAAAAAGATCAATATGACAGGGAAATGGATAACATATGGAAATTTAATAAGTAAAGAAGTAAATAAATGGAAGTTGAAACCATATGAAGAAGTGAAAGTATGTGTGAATGATTGGTTGCATTATTTTCAGTCGAATGAAATGTTTAAAAAAGAGCTATTGGAAAGAGGTTTTTCTGAAAAGGAATCTAGGTTTCAACAATAAATATTGAATAATGAGGTTAATTTTTTATCCAAAATGTACAAACTATTATTAGAGTGGTATACAAAGGATGAAGAGGTTAAATCGGCTATGATACACTGGGCCAAAGATTTTGGACATAATATTCAATTTGCTGATTGGATAAAGTTGTGGAAGGAAGGAATGAAGTTTACTGCATGTACTACAATAAAAGAAAATGTTATGAAAATGATATATAGATGGTACGTAACACCGGTAAAACTTGGTAAGATGTATAAAATGAGTAATAAATGTTGGAAATGTAAGGAAAAAGAAGGAACATTTTATCATATGTGGTGGGAATGTAAAAAAGTAAAACGCTTCTGGGAAATGATTTATAATGAGTTAAAGAAAATGTTGAAATATACATTTTGCTAAGAAGCCAGAAGCATTTTTACTAGGAATGTTAGGTTATGAGATTAAAAAGGATGAGAAAATATTTTTATATGCGGTAACAGCAGCTAGAATTCTGATGGCCCAGAAGTGGAAGCAAGAAGAATTGCCTACGATTGAAGAATGGAGAATGAAACTGATGGAATACGCAGAAATGGACAAATTAACAGGGAGGATTCGGACTAGACGAGATCAGAGATTCACTGAGGACTGGAATAAATTTACAGAATATATTAAACATATTTGTGATGAACAGTTAACATTTGTAAGCTTTCAAGAAAGTTTGTGAGAAGTAACAGTAGAAATATTGTATAAATAATATGATAGGGTAAGGAATGTTATAATGCAATATTAAATTGTGAAATGTGAGAAAAGGTGATACTACGGAGAATTGTCAGACATGCTGATGGAAGTTCAAAAGAAAAAGTTGGTGAAAATTGGATGTTAAAACTTATATAAATTTGTATTAGAAAATTAATAAAAATTATTTGCAAAAAAAAGAAAGAAAAATACTTAGTTCTTTTCTTGGTACTCAAGTCTCACCATTTCTTTAATTTTTTTAAAAGGGTACATACATAATTGACTATTAACACATTTGTTACCTTTTCCATGTCAAAAAGGTGTTTTAAAAACACGAAACCTTATCACACGAGACAAGATGTGGAGTCAATACAGTGTGTGTCCCTGCACTGCACCCACAGGCAACCTGAGTTCTGGTATGATTTTTAGACTGGGTCTCATAGGAAATACACTATTGAACACAAAAATGTAATTTGTGTCTGCTTCCCTACCCTTGTGCAGTCTAAATGGGTATTGCAAAAACAACTCAATTACAATTTATAAATGTTTCTATTCATACACACTGTAAACATCTTATAATTACGTCCAATTAGTCATAGACTTGTAGCACACAAGCCCTGCTATATTCATATTCCTTATTCCCAGCTGCAGCCACAGTGTGGCAGTATTTTAATGCCAATGAAAGTGATAATCCAAAATAGATTAATTTGGATGATGGGTTTTTACGTCTTTGGTGTATCCTCGGGGAAATTAAAATTAAAGTGAAAGAACTTTGGTGTTTGCTTACTTAGTTTCAAAGTTTTGGGTCCTAGATTGTTGTGCTCATGTGCTTTCTGGTTGCTGGATGCGGTTTTAAGCATCATTATAAATTAACTAACTCAAACAGCTGTTAATTCCTCTCAACACTTTCTTCCTTTCCAGCACTGCAATGGGCAATGCAATTTCTCTCCCCCCCCCCCATTCACCTTTATTGGGGTTTTTTTACAACAGAAATGCTTTCTTATGCAGTTTCAATTTCTTGTTGATGTACTAATGCTTCTAAATCATAAAAAAATGTTCTGTATCATTCAACTTACTGATGTTCTAATTACCTCTGACTTCCCTCCCCTTCTTAGTTGGTTCCTTTTGAGTTCTTGGTTGAATGCATATCATTGTGAATCTAGATTGTTGGTAACCATCTTAACTGTTACATTTTGATGTTTCTAATTACAAGAGTATAGTAAAAGCTATGGTTTTCCCAGTAGTGATGTATGGAAGTGAGAGCTGGACCATAAAGAAGGCTGATCGCCGAAGAATGGATGCTTTTGAATTATGGTGCTGGAGGAGACTCTTGAGAGTCCCATGGACTGCAAGAAGACCAAACACATCCATTCTTAAGGAAATCAGCCCTGAGTGCTCACTGGAAGGACAGATCGTGAAGCTGAGGCTCCAATACTTTGGCCACCTCATGAGAAGAGAAGACCTCCCTGGAAAAGACCCTGATGTTGGGAAAGATGGAGGGCACAAGGAGAAGGAGACGACAGAGTTGGATGGTGTTCTTGACGCTACCAGCATGAATTTGATCAAACTGCGGGAGGCAGTGGAGGACAGAAGTGCCTGGTGTGCTCTGGTCCATGGGGTCACGAAGAGTCGGACACGACTAAACGACTAAACAACAACAACAACAAAATTACAAGAGTTAATCTAAACCAGTCAAAAAATTTAATTCTCTGCAGTGGTATTTCAGGAATTGTTTGAATGTATTCCAATCTTTGCTAAATTTGAATGTATTCCAATCTTTGCTAAATCCCTTATCTTGTCCTGTCAATGTATCCATCTCAGCATATTCAATCTTTCATTGACAGTATTGTTTCACTTTTCCAGTTTTGTGCAATCAAAACTCTCGCTGCCGTGGTGGCGTACATAAATAATTTCTTTAGCTCTCTTGGGATCTCTCGCCCAATAATCCCTAAAAGAAATGCCTCAGGTTTTGGGGGGAATGAGATTTTAAACATCTTTTTCAACTCATTATAAATTGAGTCCCAAAATTCCTTCATTCTTTTACAGGTCCACCATACATGATACACTGATCCCTCCTTACATTTCCAGCAACGATTTGAATTATTTTTGTACATTATCGCTAATTTCCTCGATGTTATATACCAGCAATAGAAGACCTTCATGTAGTTTTCCTTAATAGAAAAACAAGCTGTAAACTTAAGATCTTCCCTCCACAGTCTTTGCCAATCTGAGAGTTGTATGTTATGACAACTTTAACTTTACCATGGCAGATTTTACCTCCTCATCCTTCACCAACCATTCTAATAAATCTCCCAAATAAATCTTGTTATATCTTTCTGCCAGGTCTTAAATTGTTTTACACTGTCCACTACTGGGATGGCTTGAAACAGAAAAAGCATTTTAGGCAACACATTTTTATTGTGGAGAGCCTACACCAGAATGATAATCTTAACATGTCCCATATTTTCAAGCTTCTTTTTATCTTCTTCCAAATTGGTATATAGTTGTCTTTATATAGATTTATGTTCTTTGCCGATATCCAGATTACTATATATTTGATTCTTTTACAAATTGTCAGTCCTGTAAGTTGTTGCAGTTCTCTTCTATCCTCTTCTCTCATATTTTTTATTAACATTTTTGTTTTTTCTTTATTGAGTTTGAAGCCTGCGACTAACCCAAATTCTGTAATCTTCTCTATCACTACTGGCATGCCTTCTTTTGGGTTTTCCGTTGTTATAGTCAGGTTGTCGGCAAAGGCTTTTACTTTAAAAGTCTTATTTTCGACAACTATACCCCTTATGTTCTTTTCTTTTCTGATGTTCGTATTCAGAATTTCCAACACCAAAATAAGTAACAGTGGGGATAAAGGACACACCTGTCTTGTACCTCTCTTAATATCACAGTTTTACGTTAGATTTGTTATTTATAACTACTTTAGCTATTTGTTGTGAATATATTGCATTTATAGGTAAAGGGACCCCTGACCATTAGGTCCAGTCATGACCGACTCTGGGGTTGCAGCACTCATCTCGCTTTATTGGCCGAGGGAACCGGCGTACAGCTTCTGGGTCATGTGGCCAGCATGACTAAGCCGCTTCTGGCAAACCAGAGCAGCGCACGGAAACATCATTTACCTTCCTGCCGGAGCGGCACCTATTTATCTACTTGCACTTTAACGTGCTTTTGAACTGCTAGGTGGGCAGGAGTAGGGACCGAGCAAGGGGAGCTCACCCCATCGCGGGGATTTGAACCGCCGACCTTCTGATCGGCAAATCCTAGGCTCTGCGGTTTAACCCACAGCGCCACCCGCATCCCTATTTATACCTTTATAGAAATTCTCTCCCACTTCTATCATCTTCACCCCCCCATTAACCTCCAGGAGACGTTGTTGAATGCCTTCTCGGCATCGATGAACAACAATGCCACCTGTTTTTCATTTCTAACTAGAGCAGTGGTATCCAAACTTTATTCAAAAAGGGCCAGATTTGATGAAGTGAATATGCGTGAGGGCTGACCATTTTGCCTGATGTTCTTTGAACCATTAAAATTAAATGCAAATTAATTTAAATGCAAATTAGCTATTTTACGCAAAGTTTATTGCAAATGGCATACTTTTCATTTCATCACATGGATGACAAATCTAAACAGGTGTTAAATCTCTCTGCCTTTCATATCTGAAGGCTAGATGGGGGGGAAAAATCCAGGAAGCTGAAATATATGTCAGGAACATTGTAAAGTACATTACATATTATTGGTAATAAAGGTTGTCTGTCAACTTTTAAGTTCAAAAAATATGAACAGGAACATAACACCAAGTTGGCACAAACCTCTTGATGAGGGTAGTAAACAAACCAGCAAAAAATGTTAAAGGAAGTGTTTTTGTGTGTGTGTTTTTGTCTCCCCCTTTTTCTTCCCTCTCTCCTTAAGAGCGCTCTCCTCTCCATTGCTGGGGGAAAGACAGTATATATGTGTCTGCATGTGCATGCCACCCACCCACCCACACATATGGCATGTGCACGCACACATAGTGCCAGACCCGATGGGGGAGGAGAGAAAATGCGGGGAGGAGAAGAGTAAGTGATGAGATTAAACGAGAAGGGGTGGTGGTGGAAGAGAGACGTGAAAACATTGTGCTCCACAAGATTCCAGAGACCAAAAAAAAATCCCTATATGGAAAGTGGGGGGGGGGCTGTTCCACCTTTCCCACCACAACCCCTGCCCAATCCCCTTTAGATTTGCTGCGATGGGATGGGGAGCGCAGGGTGGAGACAGCTGGGAGAGGGTGGCAGATAAAGAGAGGGAGAGAGGGGCTTCTGGGCAGAGGCTGCTCCAGGCCTCTTCCTGCGGCCCACCTCTCCTCTGGCATCTCCTGCATCTTTGGGCCCAGCCCCTCCCCCTCAGCCAGCAGCTGCAGCCGGCGGTTCTGGCGAGCGAATCCCGCGACCAATCATGCAGCGCCGCCACCAGAGATGCACCAATCACAGCCCAGCCCGCCTCCCTCTAACCTTCCTTCAAGCAGAGCAGCAGGCAGGCACTCGGGGGCCGCAACACATCAATTTTTCAAAATTGGGGGGGGGGCATTTTAAACCAGGCATCAGGCTGGACTTTGGACATGCCTGCTCTAGAGTATCTATCACATATCTTATATTATTTTTCATGTGGCGCCCTGGGAGAAATCCTGCTTGATCCTCATGGATATAATCTTTTAATATGCATTTCAATCTATTTGCTAGTATGTCTGCGGATATTTTGTAATCCTTATTAAGGAGAGATATAGGTCGGTAATTCTTAACTGATGTTGGATCTGTTCCCTTAGGGGAACAAATGATGCTGGTAGTTTCCCTGTATTTAAGATGTTGTTCACTACTCTTTATATGGTAGTGACAGTAGATCTTCTAATTTTTTAATAGTATTTGGCTGGTAATCCATCTGGCCCTGGAGTCTTTCCTACTTTCATCCTTTCCATGGCTTGTTGAATTTCCATCATACTAATTGGGGCATTCAGTTGGGTTGTCTCTTCTTTTGTAATCTTCCATAATTTATTCTGGTTCAAAAACTCATCTATTCTTTCTTGTTTCTCTTGGACTTCTTTATACAGTGGTGCCCCGCAAGACGAATGCCTCGCAAGACGGAAAACTCGCTAGACAAAAGAGTTTTCCGTTTTGGAGGTGCTTCGCAAAACGAAGCTCCTATGGGCTTGCTTCGCAAGACGAAAATGTCTTGCGAGTTCCTGCGGTTTTCCCCCCCTCCCCCCCTTTTTCTAAGCCGTTAAGCCGCTTATCTGCTTATCCGATAAGCTGATAAGCCGCTAAAAGCCGCTAATAGCGCTAATCCGTCAATGGGCTTGCTTCGCAAGACGAAAAAACCGCTAGACGAAGAGACTCACAGAACGGATTCTTTTCGTCTTGCGAGGCACCACTGTATAACTCTCTATAATATTCTAAGAAACTATTACTTCCCTTTTTTGGTTCCTCAATTGTTTTACTATCCACAATCAATTTGTTTATCAGCTTTTCGCTTTGTTTCTTCCTTAATTGCCAAGCCAACAGCTTTCCAGGTTTATTTGCCAATTCAAAGTTGTTTTGTTTTAACATTTTTATCTTTGATTCTATTTCTTGATTCAAAATCATTGATAGTTGTACTTGCAGCATTTTAATATTTTGATTTAGCTTCTCATTTTTTGGATTCTTTGCTAATTTTCATTCTTTTTAATCTCCTCTAATATTTCCATTAGGGACGTGGGTGGCGCTATGGGTTAAACCACAGAGCCTAGGGCTTGCCGATCAGAAGGTCGGCGGTTCGAATCCCCATGACAGGGTGAGCTCCCGTTGCTCAGTCCCTGCTCCTGCCAACCTAGCAGTTCGAAAGCACGTCAAAGTGCAAGTAGATAAATAGGTACCTGTGGCGATCACACAGCGCCCCCGGACGTTTCACGGTCTATTGACCTTGTGCCACCACTGCGGTTGCTTTCTTCGCTGCCACCACCCCGCTTCTCACGGGGACACATGGAGTCCAGACAGTTGTTAACATAAACAAATAATCAAGTTTTTTTTAAAAGTGCAGGAATAAGCATATGGTTTCGGTTTATTTTTCTCTTGTCAGTTTCCTAACCTTAGTTCCTACAACTTCAAACTGAATTATTCCCAACTATCTATCTAACTCCCTAACAATTCCTCTCACTTTCTCACAATACAACTCGACCAACCCACTGCCTATTCCACCCTCTTCCTTCTCCAACACCCAAGCCTCAACTCCCAACTGACAAACCTCAACTGTCTTTTTCAAAACCTCCCCTCTAACGTCTACTCCCCCCTTGCATTCTCACTGGCCAATCACATCACCCCCATTTTAACCCTTTCCTTGACAAATCCTAGGAGGCAAATGCCACAGTACCGCTCTGGTGGGAAGGTAAACGGCGTTTCTGTGCGCTGCTCTGGTTCACCAGAAGCGGCTTAGTCATACTGGCCACATGACCCGGAAGCTGTACGCCGGCTCCCTCGGCCAGTAAAGCAAGATGAGCGCTGCACCCCCAGAGTCGGTCACGACTGGACCTAATGGTCAGGGATCCCTTTACCTTTACCTAATATTTCCATTGTTTCTTTTTCTTTCCGTTTTCTCTGGATCCTGTTCTACTGCATGAAGAAACTTCTCATTACCGCTTTTCCTGCCTCCCATATGATCTTGATGTCAGTTCCCTTATTCAGATTAAATTCAAAGTATTCTTTTAAAGATTTCTTAGCTTTTTGTATTATTTCTTCATTGTTAAGTAATGCTTCATTTAGCCTCCATCTACGATGTCCTCTTTCTTTTCCCTTCAGAGATAAAAACACTGGGATATGATCTGATAGCAACTTTGGTTGGATTTCTATTTTTCCTACTCTTAATGTTAAATCTTTTGTGATCCAAAGTCCATCTAGTCTACTGGCTGACTGATTTGGCTCCGAAAAATAAGTGAACTCCCTTGGATGTTTACATCTCCAAGCATCCAACTTGAAGGTTTCTATTAAATGGAAGAATGATTGTGGTAATTTTCCTGTTTTATTATCTACACTTCTTTGTGTTCTATCATTTTCTTAGGAGAAAACTCCATTAAAATCTCCTAAAAGGATTATTTTTTCCTCCATATACTCTAGCATTTTTTCCTCCAATTTTTTTTGGTAGAATTCTGCTTTATTATCGTTTGAAGCATATATTCCTATCACCACCAATTTCTCTCCTTGTTCCATTACTTGAATTATTACAATCCTTCCCTCTTCATCTTTAAAAAGCATCTTTGGTTCTAATCTAGGTTTTACATAAATAACCACCCCTCTTTTCTTACACTTGTCTGAGGAGATGAATTCTGTTCCTAACTTCTTATTAGTCAACACCCTCCTGTGTTTCCTGGATACATGTGTCTTTTGGAGGCATATTATGTCCAATTTGTGTTTCATTAAAATATGTCCCACTCTATTACTTTTTAATTTATTCTTCAAACCATTCACATTCCATGTTGTGATTCCTAAGTCCATTATTTCTTTCAACTTAAATACTACGATAAAAAGTAAAGACAAAGAAAATAAAGAAAACATAGTGTGTTGCCCTAAAGGTGTACTCTTCTAGTTACTCTTGGTCTTCTTCCTGGTTGTTCTCTTCTTCTTCCTGGTTATTCTCTCTAGTTTCCTCCAGTTCCTCATCTCCCTCCTCCCCAGTCAACTGCCCTTTTATTCCTAAATTCTTTTTGTAACTTCTCACAAATCTTTCTGCTTTTTCCACTGACTTGAATCTCCATCTTTTCTCTTTATATGTGAAAGTGATTCCCTCTGAGAACTCCCACCTATATGGGATGTTTTTCTTTTTGAGTGGGTCTATCATAAATGTAGGCACTGTGGTTTAAATCACTGTGCCACTTGTGCTTGCCGATCAGAAGGTCGCGGTACGAAGCCCCACGACAGGGCGAGCTCCCATTGTTCGGTCCCAGCTTCTGCCAACCATTTCTTCCCCTTCTATTTGCCAGGAGGTGAAGGGCCCAGTGGCCATGATCTTCGTTTTTTTGACGTTTACCTTCAGACCATATTTTGCGCTCTCCTCTTTCACTCTCATTAAATTTAATTCCTCCTCACTTTCTGCCATCAAGGTTGTGTCATCTGCATATCTGAGGTTATTGATATTTCTTCCGGCAATCTTAATTCCGGCTTGGGATTCGTCCAGCCCAGCCTTTCGCATGATGAATTCTGCATATAAGTTAAATAAGCAGGGAGACAAAATACAGCCTTGTCGTACTCCTTTCCCAATTTTGAACCAATCAGTTCTTCCATATCCAGTTCTAACTGTAGCTTCTTGTCCCACAGAGATTTTTCAGGAGACAGATGAGGTGATCAGGCACTCTCATTTCTTTAAGAACTTGCCATAGTTTGCTGTGGTCGACACAGTCAAAGGCTTTTGCATAGTCAATGAAGCAGAAGTAGATGTCTTTCTGGATCTCTCTAGCTTTCTCCATAATCCAGCGCATGTTTGCAATTTGGTCTCTGGTTCCTCTGCCCCTTCGAAATCCAGCTTGCACTTCTGGGAGTTCTCGGTCCACATACTGCTTAAGCCTGCCTTGTAGAATTTTAAGCATAACCTTGCTAGCGTGTGAAATGAGTGCAATTGTGCGGTAGTTGGAGCATTTTTTGGCACTGCCCTTCTTTGGGATTGGGATGTAGACTGATCTTCTCCAATCCTCTGGCCACTGCTGAGTTTTCCAAATTTGCTGGCATATTGAGTGTAGCATCTTAACAGCATCATCATTACTTAATGGATCGCTACTTAATGGATCCAATTGGCTTCCAGAGAGTGGTAGGGGATGTTTTATCCCATGTTGATGGCGTTTCAGCTGATTCCCTGGGGGCCCGCTGGAATACGGAGTTAACTAGGGCTATTGACTGTCTGGCTCCAAAGCGCCCTCTCTGATTGCATGGAGCCCGGACAGCCCCGTGGTTTTCCCCAGAGCTGAGGGCGATGAAACAATCGTTGAGACGGCTAGAGCGCCGGTGGCAGAAAACTCATTCTGAATCAGACTGGACACGGGCTAGAGCTCAACGTCGAGCCTACCAAGTGGCAATGGCAACGGCGAAGACGGCCTCCATTGCATCTGCAGAAAACAGCAGCAGGAGACTTTTTCAGGCGGTTCGCAATCTATCAGCACCATCTGCGCCACCGGGGCCTGGTAGGGACCCCAAGATCTCCTGCAATGCTTTTGCAAAGTTTTTTGCAGACAAAGTCACTCAGATTCAGAAGGAGGTAGACTCCAACGTGGGAGCAGGGCCAGGGCAGGAGAGTGCTAGAGTTCTGTCTAGTCTTGTTACATGGGATCAATTCCAATCTGTTACCTCCGAGGATGTGGACAGGCTGCTTGGACAAGTGAAACCGACCACCTGTCTCCTTGATCCTTGCCCATCCTGGCTGATAAAAGCGAGCCAGAAAGGGCTGGGCGATGGGCTCTGCGGGGTGGTGAATGCTTCCCTCTGTGAGGGAGCCTTCCCAGACCCGCTGAAAGAGGCGGTCATTAAACCGCTTCTTAAAAAAACATCTTTAGACCCGGCCAATTTGGCCAACTATCGCCCAGTCTCAAATCTACCATTCTTGGGCAATGTGATTGAGCGGGTGATTGTCGAACAACTCCAAGTAGGCCTGGAGGATGCGGACCATTTGGATCCCTTCCAATCGGGATTCAGGCCTCACCATGGGACTGAAACTGCCTTGGTCGCGCTGGATGATGATCTCCGGCGAGCTAGGGACAAAGGTGAAAGCTGTTTCCTAGTTCTGCTGGATCTCTCAGTGGCCTTCGACACCATCGACCATAACATCCTTCTGGACCGTCTAGAGTGGCTGGGAGCTGGGGGCACTGTTATACGGTGGTTCCACTCCTTTCTCCTGGGCCATGTCCAGAAAGTGGTGTTGGGGGATGAGTGTTCAGACCCCTGGGCTCTCACTTGTGGGGTGCCTCAGGGTTCCGTCCTCTCCCCCATGCTTTTTAATATCTATATGAAGCCGCTGGGAGAGATCATCAGGGGATTTGAGCTGGGTGTTCATCAGTATGCGGATGATACCCAGCTCTACCTCTCTTTCAAATTGGAACCAGTGAAGGCGGTGAAGATCCTGTGTGAGTGTCTGGAGGCGGTTAGAGGATGGATGGGGGCTAACAGATTGAGGGTGAATCCTGACAAGACAGAAGTACTGTTTTTGGGGGACAGGGGGCAGGCGGGTGTGGGGGATTCCCTGGTCCTGAATGGGGTAACTGTGCCCCTGAAGGACCAGGTGCACAGCCTGGGAGTCATTTTGGACTCACAGCTGTCCATGGAGGCGCAGGTTAATTCTGTGTCCAGGGCAGCTGTCTACCAGCTCTACCTGGTATGCAGGCTAAGACCCTCCCTGCCCGCAGACTGTCTCGTCAGAGTGGTGCATGCTCTAGTTATCTCCCGCTTGGACTACTGCAACGTGCTCTACGTGGGGCTACCTTTGAAGGTGACGTGGAAACTGCAATTAATCCAGAATGCGGCAGCTAGACTGGTGACTGGGAGTGGCCGCCAGGACCATATAACACCAGTCCTGAGAGATCTGCATTGGCTCCCAGGATATTTCCCTAAATGGCCTCGGTCCGGTATACCTGAAGGAGCGTCTCCACCCCCTTCGTTCAGCCTGGACTCTGAGATCCAGCGCCGAGGGCCTTTTGGCGGTTCCCTCATTGCAAGAAGTAAGGTTACAGGGAACCAGACAGAGGGCCTTCTCGGTAGTGGCGCCCACCCTGTGGAACACCCTCCCACCAGATGTGAAAGAAATAAGCAGCTATCCTATCTTTAAAAGACATCTGAAGGCATCCCTGTTCAGGGAAGTTTTTAATATTTATTTTTATTTTTTTTATAAGATATTTATTAGGTTTTTTCTGAAATATTACAGTAAAAATGAAAAAGAAAAGAGAAAAATACAAAATAAAAACAATTAAAAACACACATATTTCCAGTTACTTATTTTCCTTTAGCTTGTTTCCCGGACCTCCTCATACCTCCCTTTTTTGTATTCCACTTCAATTTATTGGTTCAGCAAATCCTTACCATTAGATTTTAACCCATTTATAACCATTTTTCATATTCTCTTAAAGCATTACAGCTAGAAACCACTTAGTTACTATCCAACATCATTCTAACATTCATTAATTTTACAATATTTCTGTAAGTAGTCTTTAAATTTCTTCCAATCTTCTTCCACCAACTCTTCTCCCTGGTCTCGGATTCTGCTAGTCATTTCCGCCAATTCCATATAGTCCATCACCTTCATCTGCCATTCTTCCCGGGTGGGTAGATCTTGTGTCTTCCAATACTTTGCAATGAGTATTCTTGCTGCTGTTGTAGCATACATAAAAAAGTTCTGTCCTTCTTTGGCACCAATTGGCCAACAATGCCCAGAAGAAAGGCCTCTGGTTTCTTCAAGAAGGTATATTTAAATACCTTTTTCAGTTCATTATATATCATTTCCCAGAAAGCCTTAATCCTTGGGCACGTCCACCAAAGGTGAAAGAATGTACCTTCAGTTTCTTTACATTTCCAACATTTATTATCGGGCAAATGATAGATTTTTGCAAGCTTGACTGGAGTCATGTACCACCTGTATATCATTTTCATAATATTCTCTCTTAAGGCATTACATGCCGTAAACTTCATACCTGTGGTCCATAACTGTTCCCAGTCAGCAAACATAATATTATGTCCAAAATCTTGTGCCCATTTAATCATCGCAGATTTCACCGTTTCATCCTGAGTATTCCATTTCAACAGCAAGTTATACATTCTTGACAAATTTTTAGTTTTGGGTTCTAACAGTTCTGTTTCTAATTTTGATCTTTCCACCTGGAAGCCAATTTTCTTATCCAGATTATATGCCTCCATTATCTGGTAATAATGAAGCCAATCTCTCACTTTATTTTTTTAGTTTCTCGAAACTCTGCAATTTCAATTTGTCTCCTTCTTGTTCCAAAATTTCCCAATATTTCGGCCATTTGGCCTCCATATTGAGCCTTTTCAGAGCTTTCGCTTCCATCGGTGACAACCACCTTGGGGTTTTATTTTCCAATAAATCCTTGTATCTTATCCAAACATTAAACAGTGCTTTCCTGACAATATGATTTTTAAATGCTTTATGTGCTTTGACCTTATCATACCATAAATATGCATGCCATCCAAATACGTTGTTGAAACCTTCCAAATCCAAAATGTCTGTATTTTCAAGAAGTAGCCATTCTTTCAACCAGCAAAAAGCTGCTGATTCATAATAAAGTTTAAAGTCTGGCAGGGCAAATCCACCTCTTTCCTTTGCATCAGTTAATATCTTGAATTTTATTCTGGGCTTCTTGCCCAGTTTTTAATATTTAATGCTGTACTTGATTAGGAGCCGCCCAGAGTGGCTGGGGAAACTCAGTCAGACGGGCGGGAAATAAATAAATTATTATTATTATTATTATTATTATTATTATTATTATTATTCTAGACTAGTCCAAATATCGGCGCTACTTTTTTCCCTTCAAACCCCTCTTCTCCCAATCGCTGCTTCTCAAGTCCGTTCCCAAACCGTTCTTCTCCTTCTGTCTTTGTTGTCCGTTGCCGTCTTGTCATTCTAGTCTCTCCCTTCCCCTACTGTTGCTTTCTCGATATTTCTACACTCAGATATTTCTCCACGTGCTTGCAAGTAAAGATACAAACATGCAAGCTGGATTATAATGTCCATAAAATTTAGGAAATTCTATTCCTTACTGGCACAGTTAAGGAGAACTATAACAGAAAAATTCCCCATGCTATTTCAGTATACTCAACCACCACTCAAGCTTCTTTATATTTTTTACCTGCGTAACTCCAGAGAAAAATAACAGCTGGAGACATTTCCACCGAGCTGAAAGCAATTTGAAAGTGAGGTCATTGCTGACAGTGTGTATACACTCAGCCCACCTTGTGGTAAATAAATTTTGTATGTTTTTTTGTGTTTGACCAGAGGAGACAGAAGGTAAAAGATTGGTATGACCACATTGTCACACATGTAGGGGTTCTTTTTTTTATTAATTGCTTACATCTGCTATAAAGACTTTGTTTTAAATAAAAAGTCCACTTTTTAAATAAAAAGTCCACTTTTTAAATAAAATAAGCCCACACCTATGTACACCATGTTTCAATTTTACTATAATTTAAAAAGAATTGTAAACCACACTGTTGAAAGGTGGGATATAAACCAATTAATATAAATAAATAAAGCCTCTTTTCAAAACACCTTCAAGTCTTTTAAAAAAAATATGTCTCTAGTCTCAGCAGTATAATCACTCCTCCTATTAAAAAACAGCTTACCAGTTTGGAAGTGAAACAGCCCAATCCTGAAAAATAAGGTTGTAGTTTTTATCTACTTACGGGATGAAATATTATCACCTAAATTCCTATGACTGTCCAGGACTGAACGGTGGCCGTTGAGTCTATAGACATAAGAATGATAAAGTAGCTCAGTCTATTGTCCAGAGGTGGAACGTCCTGGTTCCTAGCAATGAGCAACGGCCATGTTCAGCCTCCATGGTCCTAAGGCAGACTCTCAATACCAGTTGCTAAGATTCACTGGGGCTGGGGGGAGGCTGCTGTTGTGCCCAGGTCCTTCTCGCAGGCTTCCCACTGCCATCTGGTTGGTCGCTGTGAGAACAGGAAGCTGGGTCACTGGCTTGATGCAACAGGGTTCTCGAATTTTTCCCTCCCTTAGGGCAGAAGTGAGAATTGCCCAAAGAAGGAGAAATTTAGTGCTGCTGTAATGAGAAGCAGCATGTCTGTCCAGAAAGAGCAAATGGTGGACGCTGGATTTTTCAATATGAAAAATGATTTTTGCTTTGGTTTTTTTGAACACTGAAAAATGCAACTTGGCTGCATGGAAGTCAATGGAACCCATGTTTCTGCATTCAGCAGCAGCTGTTGATGTGCCTCTGTCTCTGGCACTCAGGACTCTGCCCAGGCCTGGCCTCCTCTGTTCCCCAAGTGCTTTTCATCTGGCTAGAATGTTTCCCTGAACCTGGATAATGCTTCTTTCTCTGGATGCAGGATGGAGAGAGGGGTGGGAGTGAGGGCACCCAGTTAACATTTACATGGGTTGCTCAGTCCACTTTTTCCTCCAGCTACACCCGCTGCTGGCATGTGGTCCTCCAAAGGGTGCTATATTGCAATAAGTGATCATGATGAGGGCTGGCAGAGAGACCAGACGTGGGCCTTTGAGGGGAACTTCCAGGAGGACGAGAAAGAAAAAATGGGGAAGGAGAATGTCTCCTTTTGCGAACCTTGAATAGCACTGCAAGATCCCTCTTTCAGGTTGGGGAACACACTGCAACTCTTTGGTGTGTGTCACCACTTACTCTGATGTATGTTACTCAACTCTTAAATGATGCAGATAAATACTATACTCACATGTGGAATCCTACAGTTCTTCGGGTTAAGGGGGATCGACTCACCAGGCTTAAGATTCCTTGGAATGCAGAATCTGTCACACATTATTTTTTCCAAAGGAAAAAAAAATACCCCTTCTAATGGGAAGCTGCTTCATTTTTTAAAAAATGGCATCGCTTGTGAAATAAAATCAACACCAGATAGGAGAACAGAAGCCTCTCTTTTAATTCTAGAGAAAAATCAGGATAAATTAGACTTTGATCAAACAAGATACAGGGAACCCGGAAAAGCAACTTCCAGTAAACTTGGAGAAAGTAGTACTGATATGAGACTATACAAATATTCAGTAATGTATAGTATATTCCATGTGAATTTATTTCACACCCAGTTATCTTTCCTCTTTAGGGCACCCCCCTCCCCACAAAAACTGGAGAAAATAGGAGCTGAAAGAAGTCTGAACAAGTTGGTTATGGCATTCAACATTTCAGCAGCCAGAACGTGACTTCCAAGGGTAAATTTTGCTTCCCTCTATTTGCATACTGGCTTCTTCTTGCAGGGAATTACTTCACATCATGATCAAGTCCCCCAAAGTATTTGGCTCTGAACAAGGTATGGTCTCCTCCACTGGGCACCATTGCAGATAGCAGGGGCTGAAGACACCGTCTAGCACAAATCTACCCTTTACCTAGTCCCATATTCTGACACCCTTTTTCTGGAAATGCTAAAACAGAAGGGAAAAAGGGTTTTGGATCCACACCACCCCTTATAAATTGTAACCAATGCCTATGTCACATAGTCTCAGGGGGGAAATTATACCTGTAGGTTTACAATCTGAGGTAGACATGATAGACAGGGGAAAGTAAAGAGAGGAATGGGTAAGGGAAATTAAAAACAAGGTACCAAGGAAAGGGGGAAATCAGAAAAAGAGAAAAGGTAAATTTTAAGCAGTTTAAAATGTTGTATAGAGGTGAAGCAATAATGTGAGTATCAAAGGGGACAGGATTCTTCTAGAAAGAAGGTGCCAGCAACAGGAAAAGGAGAGGCATGGAAATGAACTGGAAGAATATACCTTGGAAGAAGATGACTAGAAACAGTGGAATCAAGAGAGCAGGAAGGAATACCGAGACAGAGGACACCAGCGAGAACATTTAAAAGTTAGACCAATGAGCTTATGGTGAATATGGAAAAAATTAAGACAGTTCACAAAAGGGCAATTGGTAAATCAATCTCATTGTAAACATTTATGCTTAAGAACACAGTTATCTCTTATCTTACGCAGAAGCTGTTGTTGCCCTTTCCTGTGAAAAATCTGGAGCCACTCAACTGATTTGCACCCAGTTACCACCACACAAAAGCCCACGGCATGTAGACAATGTTTCCATGCTTAGCTCCACCTTCTGGCTGGGGCTGATGGGGGTTCTGGTCCAAAACATCTAGAGAGCACCAGGGTGGAAAAAGTGACTTCCATTTTATAAAGGCTGGGCACCTACTTCAGAATCAAATGCCCAAGGCCCCTCTGTGACATCAACCAAGTCATAGCAGTTTATCCGATGGCAACCAGAGGGATGGGATCTACACACCTAGTCACTGTGACATATCTCATCAAGATGGAGACAAAAGACATCACAGCTAGAGAGGCTGGATGGTGCTCATGGTCCATTATACTGATACTAGCTAAGCAAGGACGTAATTCAACTAGTTGGACTCGGGGGCGGGTGGAATCCTATGTGCAATATCTATCTTGATCCAGGGTAAAATCTTCACTTCAACTGTATTACAATTTCCACAGACTAATCTAAAATGTGCTTTTTCAATTTGTACACTTTTCTTGACAGACGGCCATCTTGAAACCCTGATAAGGCAAAGGAGGGATATAAACCCCAGCTTCTATTGCTGCAAGAAGCATTTTTAATGGTTATACCCCCTCAAAGACATAGAAGAAAAATGCTGAACTTCTTTAAAGAATAAATGCAAAAGTGTTTTTGTTTTTTAAACCTTAGGCTTATTTTTACTCATGACAATATTTGTTAAAAATATTACATCTGCCTTTGAGAAGAGAGAGTATCATATTTTTATATTGTGGAAAAATAAACTCTACAGACATCCCAAATTGGCACACAGGTGCTTTAAAATAACATCCTCTCACAGGATAATTCCAAAGGGCTGCTTTGCTCCCACCCTGTTTACCCAATTATTCTTTAAACACACTGGACTGCATGAATGGGTATAAGACGAGAATACCTAAAAACAGTAAAATGTTTATTTTCTTAGAAAAAAAAGAGGGATTCAAACTGATTGTGGTCACAACTTCCATCTGTGGTCAGCAAAGCCAATACTGCAAGCTTATTCCTCGATTGAAATACTTAGTTAAAGAAACTTTTTTAAAAATACAGATTTCTGCTCCTGCATCACCATATCCAGTATTTGTGTGACAACATGCTTTTAAATTGGTAACTTTTTCCTAGCAGAGAAACGAGGACGGTCATGGCAAAGTATCCCACCTCCAAAGCTCTAAATTGTCCATATTAATAAGAACTCTGCAACCCGGGGGGGGGAGGAGGTTGACAAACAGAGTGAACTTGAAGGTTCAGCTGCTCAGTTATGGTAGGTGTTGTATAATACTACTTCAGCCAATAGAAAATAGGCCAGCAGCCCAAGTGAAATCTACAGTGTCACTTAAGATTTTATGCTGAAATATTTGCTGTGTTCCTGGACACTGGATAAGTGAAAAATCTGCAACATGTTTCAGCCAGCATCAGCCAAGGCAGTTCCACACAAGCTGTTCTTCGTTCCTTTCGTAACGTTCATTGTATGGTCATTAAGAAACACTGCAACTGAATGGAGCATACAATGTGGAAATGATCTTTTGTTATGTAGTGCTGTTCACTTGAGAAGACTTCCAAAAAGGAACTTGACCGTAATCTATTTACACAGTAGTATTCCCGTTTTGATCAGCAGAAATGGCACTATGTGATATCCTCCTCTTCTGAACAGTAATCACGACCCTTCAAAGGGAAAAACAGAGAGAGAGAGAGAGAGAGAGAGAGAGAGAGAGAGAGAGAGAAGTATATACACATTTAACACAGGAAAAACAAACTAGCTACAGGAAAAACAGAACCAGCTCTTTGGCAGCTACATTGAATCCTTCTGTGTTTGGTCCTATAGTGTTTTCAGTAGGAAACCTCTTCGTCATATGTGGTTAGGGCAGAGTGTTACCCTAGGCATTACTGGATGTCACAAGGGAGCAATCATAAAATAGCAAATGTACTGCCCTCCTATTGTTCTGTGAGCATCAAACAGGACCACCAAGACCACCTTAGTGCCAATCCAGGCTTGAACCCAGAATGAAACAGATCTAGATAATGGGTGTCATCCAAGAATGCCCAGAGTTGCACATGAATCACTAGTTCAACTCCTGAAGGGGTGTTTGCAACCAGCTAAGATTTGCACAATCCTGGGGGTCCAGAAGAGCCTTCCTTAGAAATGTAATAATTACTACTTCCCTGAGCCACTTCCTCTAGGAAGTAGGAAGAGGCAACAGACAGGTCCCATAGATGGCAGAACCTATGAAAGGAGGAGAAACCTGCTTCCCATCTTCTTCAGCAACCCTGGCACCAGGGGACTTTTGCGCCTCTGGCAATTATTATTCCTCGGTTTGGAATTTAGCTGAAGCACTTGCTCTATTTTTTAAGCATCTTGTCAAGCTTTCTGATCACTTTGCGTAGGCAGCAGCAGCAGCACTTGAAAAAAGGGAGAGGCGAGAACAAGAACATACACACTGGTTAAGAAATGAGGGATACAGCCCACGTCTTCCTGAAGTGTGACAAGTAGTTCTTCAGCATAGTCAATCTCTGAAAGCGACTACCATGGAAAGAGGAGAAAGGGGATCATGGCTAAAAGTATTAATCAAATTAAGAAGCCAGTATCATGTCACATTTGAAAACAGCTCCTTTGAATATAGCATGCAAGCTTCATACTGATCAGTTTCACTTTGAAGTTTTCCAAGCTGCAATATGGATTCATTTTTCTTACTTTCACGTCACAACACGGGCAACACTATCACACTTAACCCAAATCACCAGAAAGGGTAAAGAGGGTAACTCAAGAAGATTTATGCATGTGGGTTTATCAATCATGATTTCCAACATCTTGAGGGAAGGGAGTAAAACCTCCCTTTGCATTACATGTTTGAAACACCAGTAGAGGAGGCTGTAAAAGAGAAGTTGGCTGTGGATGAGGGGGCTTGAAGTGAGAGGAGTCTATGGATGAGAAGGTCTAGCTCAGGGGTGGGGATTTTCTGGTCTGTAGGCCCAATCTGGCCCACCAGCTTCTCCATTTGATCTGCAAGGTCCTTCCACCAAAGCACACCCACCAGCCCCACATCTGGTGTCCTATGGGATGGGATGGGATGGATGCCTCATACCCTGCAGCAAGCAAGACTTTTCACCTTCCCACGCATCAACTGATGCACAGAGAGTTCAATCCTGCTTGGTGAAGTGTGCAAGCAAGCTCCCCAGGGGAACTCTGTCATGCACCCAAACCCTGCAGAAACCAGGATGGAACCAAAAGCTTCCAGATGGAGACAAAGCATTTAATGCAAATCATTTCAGGATAGGAACATTGTAAACCAGTGAAAGACAAGTCATCAACTGTAGTTTAGCTCTGGCCTAGTCCATGAAAGTGATGCCCACATTAAGTCAGTTACATAAGACTGAATTGCAAATAAGATTTGAGCTGGGCAACTGCAAGCAAGTCATGATGTTTTTCCTAAATAATCCTAAGCAGGGCTTTCTTTCAGCTGGAACCCAGTTCTGGCAGCTCCCAGGTGGGCACCATTGCCATTCTAAGAGGTGTTCATGGTGAGTTCTGGCACCTCTTTTTCTAGAAAAATAGCACTGATCCTAAGCAGCATATGAATAATACAAAGGAATGACATACGTTTCAGGCAGTATCAGACAAGCACTTTTTAGAGTACTATTTGCGCATCTTCCCCATCTACATCTTAAAAAATATTTTGTGAGCACATGCATCAGAAGTGTCTTCTAATTTGCCATTCCATTACAACAAACAAAGTCCAACTTTCAATAAAGTTATTTTCCTGCTTGCTGCCCCCCGCTCTAATAATTGCTCACTTCGTCATGAATGACATGGAGCAGCCAGTGTGGCGATGTGGCCGGAGTGCTGGACTGTGATGAGAGACACCCAAGTTCAAAGCCCTACTCATCCATGAAGCTCTTGGGATGACCTTGGGCGAGTCAGTATCCCTCAGCCTAAACTGCTTCGCAGGGTTGCTGGGAAGAACCTAGTAAGCTACTCTGAGGCCAAACAGTCCACATTCTCCTACCCATTCTGAAAATACACATGCATTTTTAAAATTTACCCCAAGAAGAAAGCATGCAGATAATTTCTAATACAAAAATTTCCAACTCTGTAGTCCTTAAAAATGGGATTGCCAAATTTCAAGCAGTAAAAATCCAGACAGGAAAGTTGTTGAGCTATTTTTAAGGTAAATTGCCAAAAACGACACTGCCGACATGGGTTGCCATACATCCGGATTTTCCCGGACATTTTAGCAATTTTCACCCAGACACCGCTTCCGACTGCAATATTCTGGATATGTCCAGGAAATTCCGGATGTATGGAAACCCTATTATCTGTTCCTAATTCTAAATACTAAAATGATTTTGCAAGTTCAGAAAAATCCCCTCTCACAGAAAGAAACTATGCATGCACTTTGTTGCACAATTGTGGCATATTTTCTCCTCAACAGAAGAAGCACAGACCCCAGGATCAATTTGAATTGAAAAACAGCAGGCTCCTCCCAGTTCCAACAGTTTTAAAAAGTACAATCAGTCTCATGTTCTTATTGGGATACTGTGGTCCCCCCCCCAATATCCGTTTATTAATTGCTTTCTTTTTTAAAAAAAACAACAGGCTGGCATCGCAGGATCTCAGAATTCCTCTAAACTAAATGTATCTTCCACAGTGTGGGGTTGGGGAGAGCAGTCTGTGTCGAAGGCAACACAGCCTCTCCTCTTGCTCTTGCATTTAACTAGGCGACGCTGCTTCTCTAGCTGGCATACAAAGCAAGCAAAGGAAGAGGTTGGGTGGGCCGCCGCTGCTGCTGTGGTGAAAGAAACTGTGCCAAACAGCCTCTCCTTTAGCTGTCGCTAAGAAAGCTGGCAAGGCACAGAGGCCTTTTTCATGAATAGCACCCCAAAACAATAAAGAAACGGCTCACTGCTACAGGAACTCCCATTTTTCAAAAACTGTCTTCTCAGAAAGGATGGAACAAAAAAGGCCTGCGCGTTTGCATGTACACATGTGCATGGCATTTACTTTTTGCAAATAAATGAATGGATGCGTCCACAGCACTCCCATTTTAACCAATAACTTTTGTAGCGTAAGAGAGCCTGCCCTGGCAGTAAAAACCACGTATCATAGAACCACTTGTATACTGCGCAAAAAAGCTCCATTGTACATCCCAATAACACACCCCATTCATGATTTCACAAATAAAGTGGTTTACTGTGGCACTGCCATGAAATGGCTTATGGTGTCAGATGTGTGTGTATGTAGGAAAAATTAATTTATTAAGTACATTATGAATGGCAATCCAGCCTACAAGACGTACACACACACCTCCTGTAATAGATGTCCTTGTTTTGATCCTCAATTTTAAAGTGATGTCTCACTACCCTTTGGAAAGAGCTAGATTCAGTGCACTTTCATTGTCTCTCCTGGATTTCACTGCAGCCAAGTCTGAAAGGAAGCCCTCTACATTCAAAAGAAGCAGCCTTTAAGCTGGGGCCTTCTGCTTCCTCCCAGAAGGCTGGGAGAGTCTGGCTGTTGTCAGGGCTGAGCCACAGCAGGGCAGCACTAATGGTAACTGCTCTTTTCTTTCCTCCAGACTTATAGCCACCAGCTCCAAGGCAGCTGCCACAAAGGAAATGGGGAGTCTGAGATGGGACTGTGCAGGTCAGACTTTTGTTCATCAAAGGGCTGC